AGATACATGCTCATACCTTTCTAGCATGGTATGTTTTGATCCATGCTAGTATGCCATTTGACACAATAATCCTTGAGCTTTTGATTGTTATTGTAGCATATAGCAACTGCATAAAGGGGTAATAAAGTCTAGCTACCTGGGAACACATATTGGTAATTGGTTAAACCTTCCCACCTAGAGAATTAATTAAGTTAGGATAAAAAATTGAGGATCTTTGAACCAAATTATGATGAAGTGAGTACAACACTAGAATTATAATGAAAAATAAATTTTTTTCTATTAAAAATACGACTAGCTTATGTACAATTCACTAGACATGACTTAAAACCAAAAACGTTGCAACAACTAGAGGATCCAATCATGGTTCGTCTTACCGGTCTGTACCGGTGTACCAACTGACTGTGGGTACGATACGTACTGAACCATACTGATGCATTGACACATGGTATAGTGGGATGTACCAACAAATCGGTATTTACTGTCAATACCGATCCCCTATTGAATTGGTACATACCGCTCATATCGGACGGTACATCATGGTACAACAAACCTTGGATCCAATAACTAAACCAAGTTAAACCAAGATAGTCTACAAGTATTTCTCATGAAAATTAAAAGATCCATTGTCTTATATGGTTAATTGCCAAATGCCTATGTTTTTCTTGCCGTGTTGATGCCTTCCTTGTAAGGCATAAAGAGATTTTGGCATTATTTGCAATGCTAAGTTTTTAGAGAGATTCTTGTTGTTACTGTCTATGAAATTTGGATTCTTTGGATTTCTTGTGTACTTCATCTTGTTGGGATATCTGTATTCATAGGATATTTCCTGGATGCTTATTAGATACATCCTTTTATTATCCAATTTTATTTAGTTATTGAATGATCAAATACTTGTTATTATATTCTACCTCTGCATTTTCTAGACCACTGTCTTAAACCAGAGTAGCAATTTTTTCCTGATCAATAGTATAGTTGTGCTTGTTGATTTTTGTCATAATATTATGACATATATCTAAATTTTTTAGACTTGTGAGGAGAGTCAATAGGTTAGGTTGTGTTGGGTCGATTTGAAATGCAGTAGTAAGGATCGATAAGACTATGCAACCCACTAATGCATCAGGGTTTCTTGATTCAAACCAGACCTTATATTGCTTGTTAATAATTTGCTATATATAGTGACCTATATTTCTTTGCTGTGTATGTTAGAACATCCAACTTGGATTGGGTTAGGATGAAACTGATGTTTAGGGCAACATATGCTCGACTGAAACCTGCCCTGTCAATGGGTCCAAAATCTTTCGTCTGAATCCAACCCATGAACCCATGAGTCACTGAAAATGGTACGGATCAGGTTGGTATGGTTTCCTTCAAATAGGATCAGAAGTTTCAAACATGAAAAAACCCATGCAAAGATGTTGTAATGCAAGGTTGAAGACACTTTGAAAAATAAAATCTTAAAGTTTAATTTGCAAATTTGAAGTAATAGAACATGTATTAACATGTCTGTGGACCTAGAAATTTTAATTTAGTCCAGAAACACTTGAGGCCATGTCTACACCTCAAACACTTGAAAATAAAAGGTCATTGAACCAAGGTTATTCATTTCTAGTATCGGAACCGTGCTGGTCACTGGCTGTTCTATTATGAGTTTGTTACACAAAGGCATACTAGCAAGGAGGAGGAGGAGGAAGAGAGGAGGAGGATGAGTAGGAGAGGAGGAAGAGGAGGCAAAGGAGGACCGGAGTACCCAGGAAGCTCTAAGAGGCAATGACGCAAGCATAGAGAAGGGCACAGTAGTAAGCCCTGTACTACCCCTGGATTGCATGAAATTGAGCTATCCATGTTCTGGTCCAGGCTCAAATTGGTCCAGGTGAAATGTCGAACCATGCATTGAAGATCTCAATCAACACAAAAACTATGATCAAGTAGCTTTTGATTGTCAACAAAGTTTGCATTAATTTGACAGTTGGACCCTTAATTGTTATTTTATTTGACCAAATAGTAACAATGTCCAAGTATGTCAAATGACAAAAAATTAATCTCTTAGCTAAAGTACTTGAATTGCTAATTACTTTTCTATTTAGAAGCTTTTGTCGAATTCCTCAAATCAAGTTATTTCAAATTCATATATAACATTTCAATTTAAAGATGCAATCTTATTTCTATGTGTATCACCATCGGTAGTTTATTTCCTTAATTGTGTAATACACTATAAAATTAAATTGTATAGACAAAGAAAAATCATTTGTGTAGGTTATTTGACTGGACATGGAGATACATGTAGGTGATAAATTAACTCATGATAAGTTATATCCAATTATATATGTTGTATTGTCATGTATTGAAGTTAAAACATTTGGTGTTTATTGTTTCTATCAAAAAATTCAACAATTAAACCAAGTATTTTAGTTGTCTTCAGTTCATAGATGAAAGGGATACAAGGTAATAAAATAATTGCAAATTTGAAATATAAGGATTTTGTTGATAGCTGTTGAAAGCTTATAACCTAAGTGATCACCAACAAAAGGTCCAAGAGTTAGGAAGGAAAAAGTAGCTTCCTAAAACTCTGCACGTGGAGTGGCACATTTGATTTTTTTTTCTTTACCTACCTCATAATTATTATTCAAGGGTGTCTCAGATTACCACCTATGGATGCCCATGTCAATGTGTTCCTCAAGACCTTTTCTCCACCAAATTATTGTGGAGGCTTGTTGCACTGTGAAAACTAACTCAACTAAGCATTGCAGTGTTAATTCCCCCATTTTGGCAGTCTATTGCCAATACAAAGGATTGCAAAATTGACCAATTACATTGCATCATAAAATGTCCCTGGCATCTCACAATTTGATCATGTCAACACTCCTATCGATGCCTTCTCATATGATGTGATCCGATCTTCCTCATTTTATAATGCATCATTAGAATTCCATCTTTTCTTTGACCTGGAAATCCTCTTCCCACCACCAAGAACATAATGTTCATAGCTCCATTAGTTTAGAGAAGCAATTGTGGTGGTTAGCTAAGTCAAGATTTTCGTGAAGGATCTTGTGGATCAGCATGGCTACGGCTTTATTTTTCCTGAAAAAAAATGTATTGATGGAGCAAACATGTACAAACTAAACCTCTAGCATCAGAGGTCAGAAGTGTGAAGAGTGGTGTAGGCTACTCATCCTTCCACAAAAAATTTTGTTTAGAGGATCTAGCTAACCAGTTAGCCACCTTACTGGATTCTCTATACACATGACAACGTTTTACATCAGAAAACTGGGTATTAAAGCATTGATATCCTGCAAACAAAATATTTATGATTTGTCACAGCAGTAGAGATTTGTGCTGTAATACATCAATAACGGTGGAGAGTAACGATGGAGGAAGCAGATTCAACGAAGACTCTCTGTACAACCTCCTTCAAACAAATCTCAAGTCCCTGTTTCAAAGCCAAAAATTCACAGATTAGTCGATTTTGATATTGTGTATAATTGCAGCCTGCAAAGCAGCAGTTCCCAATTTCATTTCTTAACACAAATCCTGTTTCCCCCTCGTTAAGGTCATGGTTCCATGAGCCATCAACATTCCTCTTGTTCCACCTAAGAGGAGGGAACTCCCATTTCACTTGCAGTTGACATATCCATTTCCTACCATCAGAAAAATGAGAAATATCATAAGTGCGTGCAGCAGCCTTATAAACCAGGCTCAAAGGCTTGCAAATTATATGATTATGATTGTGCATTGTGTCATTCCTAACTTTCCAAATAAACCACAAACAATTATCAATCAAAGCTCTCAAGACAGTTAGAATAGGAGCAATAATCAATACTCTCATCATTAAGCCATCCCCCATTAGGCCAATTGTGCAAGTAGGAAAAGGTAATATGCAGGTGGAGTTGAAGGAGGTTCCAAACCATCACAGAGAAGTTACACATGCAAAAGACATGGTTGATTGATTCAAATTCCCCACCACATAAGAAACAGGGTTGCTGTTCCTCTATATCAAGACTTGTTATCCAATCAGAACTAGGGAGGCGATGATGGCAAAGCTTCCATAGTTGGGAGACCACAACAATCACCACGTGTCCCATAGTACAGCAGGAACAATATTATCAAGTATTAGGAAATCATAAGCAGACTTATAAGTTGCCTTTCCAGAAGGATGAGGCATCCAAATCCAGGTATCCTGATTCGGGGAAAAAGAAGTGTCAATGGAGAAATGTCAATGGAGAAATCCTGGTTTCTCTGTTAAGAACTATAAAAACTTGTGCAGATATAAATGTCCATTGAAAGGATAAGGAATTTATCTTACCAACTGTATCTCCGAGCTTGTCTAAGAATTCATCCAATGTTTCATATAAGCAGCCTTAAGTCGGTGATATAAATTCCTTATCCTTTCAATGGTCATTTATATCTGCACAATTTTTTTATATTTATTAACATAGAAACAAGGATTTAGGTTGCGGCTTCTCATGCAAAATATCACCTTTCTTGTAGTCCTGAATTTCCCCCCATCTAATATTTGTGGCTAGATACTTTGGCGAAGCTTATGTGACCTTTGCATTTTGGTATAATTCTTTGGTTGCATGATAAGCAATTTGGTTGTTTCATATCCAATCACCAAATTGTGAGAGGTTATGGTTTTTACCCAATGTTAATTTTGAAAAGCTCTTGTTTAATGTAGATCTTCATTGCAAGTTATTCAAGTATGGTGCTGTGTTCATGATTTCTATCCAATCTTGTTTTTGGCACTTATGAAATGCAGCAAGTATTGCCCCAAAAAATCGTGTATTATTCTCATCGTCATTTATTTGTTGCCAAGACTTGTGGAGAATTGCAGTTTTGATCATAGAAAATTATCCTTCATTGATTTCGTAATTCTATGTCTGTGCAATCCTCTTTTAGATTTCTATTTGTCCTTACATTAACTTTATCTGTCATTTTAGTTATCTAAACTTGAGCCTGCATGGTCAAACAGTTAATTTTTCCTGGTTTTTTTTTTCTTAAAACAGTTAGTGCAAGACCAGCGCCATTCCAAGCTGTCAACAGCTGCAGTTTTCGTGAGAAAGTTGCATGATATTGCAGGTTGATTCATTAGATTTATTTTAAATCTTCATATATACTCATGCCTTATTATATAGTTCTTAATTGCATTTGTATTCATTCTCTTATCTTCTTTGCAGTTCAAAAAAGAGGTTATGTTGACTTACAGGAAGCCTCAACAGGAGAAAGTGTGCCATGTAGTTATGGAGCCACACTTCCAAAAGACCCATGTTGCAGTTTGCCTTCCAGTTGGGCAATGGCAGATCCTTCAACATTTTTAATTCGTGGTGAATCTTACCTACATGATCATCTAAAGGTAATGACTTCTAATTCTGTGATCAAGTTTTGTTTCTACCTACATAAATCATGTCATGAGAACACACACACACACACACATTTGTTTAGGAGACAAGTTGACTAACTAAAATATTGGTGGCATGTTTCTTTTGCCAAATAAATGGAATATGCAAAATAACTTAATATTGTGAACTACCTATTTAAAAATGACTTATGATCTTGTTCAAACTTTGAGATACTGAATTTTGTTTTGTGAGCTGGTCCTGTGTGTTTACGAGTAATAATAGTTTATGTTTATTTTAATCTATTTCTTGTCCAACAGATAAAAGCCAATGGTACCTTGATGCAAATGGTAGCTGCTGATTGGTTAAAATCTGATAAACGTGAAGATGACCTCGGTGGTCGACCTGGGGGAATCGTTCAGGTGTTTCTCAAAAACAAATATGTTGTGACCCTATTCTTTTGTTTTCTATGCGATCGAATTAGATTTTGATCCTTGCAGAAATATTCAGCACACGGTGGCAGTGAGTTCTTTTTTATTGTACACATACAGGTTAGTGGCTAAGACTGTTTGTCATATCTACTGAAGTGAGGAGAAAACAATAGTGAGACAGTAATGTTAAAAATAAGATGTAAATATTGTGTCATGTGGGCAGGTTCCAGGTTCTACCACATACAGCTTAGCTTTATATTACATGATGGATAGTCCACTTGAAAGTTTTCCCCTCCTAGAAAGATTCGTCAAAGGTGATGATGCATATAGGAATTCAAGGTTTAAACTCATTCCATATATTTCTAAGGTATATATTTTGCAATATAATTGTTTCTATGCCGTTCTGTGTTAATATCTACTAATTATGCTGAAGTTTGTTATATAATCTTTTTTTTCTCTGTTCGGCTTACTTGTAGGGTTCTTGGATCGTGAAGCAAAGTGTGGGAAAGAAAGCATGTTTGGTGGGTCAAGCACTTGATATCAACTATTTCTGTGGGAGCAATTATATTGAGGTATACTGAGATAAACATGGCAGCACCATCTCTGTCGTCTGAGCTTTTGCATATTATTTAACTAATCTGTTGTCATGTTTGACCACATTGACTATATACATAGGATTTGTTCACTCAGCTAATTGTAGATTATCCATGGGCTTATGTAAGCCATGTTTTTTTCTGTAACATTTCTGCAGTTAAAATTAATAAATTTATCAGTTTGGTGAATAAGTCAGCAAAGTATCTTCAAACAGCAGTAGATGTTTCATATAAGTGACCAAACTTCATTATAATTAATGCGTGCTATTTGTAATACTAATCTGCTGAAACAGAGGTTGACCCTTGTGAGCAGGTGTCAGTTTGGATGCTTTTCGAAAAGAGGAGACTCTTTTATGTCATTACGGTCAAGGGACTTGGCTAGTGTATGACTCCTTTTGTTGTCAGTACTATTGTGAGACTTGGCCAGCATATGACTTGTCAGTACTAGTTCGCAGGTTCCGGTTGAAGAGTAAATAAACCTCGAGTTGTTGGACTTCCTTGGCTATGGCCTCAGGATAAGGGAGAATGAGAAATGGAAACTGGATGAAGATATCGAAAGGAGTGTAGTAATAGATATAAACCCGAGGCAGAAGTAAAAAATTTCCATGTGTCCAAAAATTAATTTTCAGCAGATGAAACATGATCTCGATACTTATGCTTTAAGCTCCTTATTGTTTGAAGTATTAGAAGATAATTTTGACTAAAAGCCTCAGATAACCAAAAGGGAAAAATTAGTCTATTGTAATCATCTAAATTGCTTCTTTGGAATTGGAATAGGAGTTGTCTTCTTGACATATATCCGGCTTACATATACATATCTGACATGTACATGGACCCAGATGAATTTGATGTGGCATTGAGAAACCTTGTAGGTGACTTTTTGTTACTCCTTTTCCAACTTTTTACTTTTTGCCACAGATTGTCTATTGAACTACTTTAACACTCTCGTGTGATTGTTTGTCACTTTAGCTTTATTGTCCAAATTCTGAATGACATGGCAATATAGGCTTCATTTGTACAAGTTTAAGATTGTTTTGTGCACCTTGGACACTTGTGAATATTAAGTAATTCAAAATCATCCAACAATTTTTATCGCTCATTGCTGAGTTGCTATTATTATACAAATAGGATAAGAACCCATGAAAAGTAAGTTATGAACATAACATGCAGTTTTTTGTTATATAATCTTTTTACAATATCTCCTTTTCTTCTATCCTAGACCCGTGATCGAACTATTGTATCCAGCTGCTTCTCCTCTTTCGTCAACTTGAGCGCTTTATGATAACTCATCCACAAGTTGTCGCTACTATCTACAAGGCTCAGTAGCCTAAAATACCCAGTTTTATTAACTCAACTACCCTATTTTGTGTCTCTCTTGTTCCACTAGCACCAAGTAGCACTTGCAGATCATCATAATTCATATCACTCTGCAGTTAGCCATTGCTGCTAAATCCATTGTGGTTAAATATCTGCAAAATGGATGGACTATGATGTGTATCATTGGATCTGGTGGTGGTTATCTGCGATATTAGATCTGACAGCAACCCATGGTGGAAAAGTTGATTAGTCCTTCAGTTGCCCCCTAATCAAGTATTGTCTCTTGAACCCAGTAACTGCTGTTTTTATGTATGGCAAGTGCCCACATGTTTAAATTCTTGTCATGGAAATGCATCTTGATACAATTTACGGCATATATGAGTAGTCTTACATTGGATGGTTAATTATCATCCATAACATATATGAAGCTTCTTTACGGTATTATCACGGAGCACTATTATGAGATCAGCAACGACATTTTATGTATATGTACTTTCAGCTTGGTGTCGACGTTGGCTCATCGACAGTTGCTAGGGGCGTTGTAAGTCTTGTTCTTGGTTATCTGACCAATCTAGTGATAGAAATGGCTTTTCTAATTCAGGTATGCATTCCAAGTTCAAATTTTAGCTTGCTTAACCTGCATCAGTTGTTGCATTCTTGTTTCATTCCAACACTTGAACATACAAACATTCATGGAAATAAATTGGACATTTCACTTAATAAAGGACAAGCCAGTAGTATAAATGAAAGTACATCATGGTATTTTGGGACATTTTTATACTCTTTACGGGCTTTGCATTTAATATAGAACACTAAAAATAGAAACCACTATTATGTGTATTTCTTTGGCATAATGTTTTAGGATATTTGATAACTTTCTGGTACCGCAGGAACATAAATATTTGTTTCAATATTTCGATGCAGGGTAACACGGAAGAAGAGCTTCCTGAGTTTCTTCTTGGAACTTGCAGGTTGAACCATCTTGATGCTTCCAAAGCGGTTCCGAGTAACCCATGGTAAGTGTTATGACTAAGTGAATTCATGACTTGAAATCGGCACACTTACCATGTTCTTTCCTTTTTCTTTCGCAGATTACAAATTACCTGTATATGATTCTTTCATTTGATAGAAGTTCGACATCGAAGCAAGTAATGTATGCCTCAATAAGAGGTGCAATAACAACTTGTAACGATGCGAACAACTACTTTGTATTTCGACTCTTGTTGACCTGTCAATCGGTTGGTAATTACCATAGAATTTGATCTTTGATTTGCAATATTTAGTCACAAAGTAAAATCCTTCAAAAGAACCAAAAAGAGCTATTATTTACATGTTTATAAGTAATCTCACTTGAATCAAGCTAAGGATGTCCATTTGGCCTACTCTATTGAATCAACAATTTGGACATGACAAGTGATAATTTCCAAATCTCTAAACATGAAAATAATGGCACAAGAATTTTGAGTAGCATTTTTCCAAAGTTGCAAGCTCATTTGTTTGAAAAACTTTCTTGATGGCAACAGCTAATTGACGCTAAAGTCGACAAAATATTATTTGTATAAGCAAATGAATGATAATAGTTTTGGAAGAAGTCAAAAGAAATTAATTTGTATAAGCCAAAAAGTAATATAACATAAGTTTGAGTGAACAAAATATAAGTTAATAATAGCAAAAGAACAAACCAGTTTCAAAATCATTCAATTATTAATTGATAAAGTAGAAAGTATTTTTTTTCCTTCTGAAACTAATCAGAAACTTAGTTTGGCAGAAAAGCCATCGATAACATCATATTAATCAAAAATAAATAAATAAAAAAAGAGTGACCTAAGACTCTTGTGACCATCAAAATGTCATCAATATAACAATATATATTAAATAATAGCCGTTCTCAATTTCACCTATTTATTTATATATCAAGAACATAACCAAATAAACAAATAGCATGCTATGGCTATTGAAAGAAAAGAAGATATCAGACCATACGACGAATAAAGGACATACTCGATGGCGTTCCTTCAAACTATTTCCCCTGAGCATGGCTACCAAATCGAAAGTTGTCTGGTGTATCTTCTTCACTCATCATCAATGCTAATAATTAACACGGTTTAGACTAGTCAAAGTTGGAAAACCCAACTTTGCCTCCGTGTCTCCTTTCCTTCTCTCTCCTCTCCTCTCCCATTGGGGCATCTTAATAGCACCATCGATAAGCTAGCTTGGCGCCATAAAACATGGCAAGAGTAATGTGGGGTTATAACATCCAAGCACATGCAGCCACTTAATTAAGCCTTAATGTGCCATTAATCTCACAAATTCAAAGGTCATTTAGAACATAGAAATGGCCAACTTAGCACATTTTCTCTTATAATGCCACACCTTAATCATTATGTAATTGCTTCTAATAAATTTGTAGACATAAATTATTTTTCTTCGTTCAAGCAAAATTATCGATCTCATGCATCCATCGACAATAAGAATATGTTTTGCTACAGTCTCACAAACATCTCATGTGTCGTGTGGTTTCATGTGTGCAGAGACCTCGATGATAAGAGTCACAAGGAACAAGATCATGTCACCGATGGCATCGGCGGTGGATCGAGCGCGGTGGTGGCACGCGCATGAACAGGCGGCGGCAACGGGGGCGGCGCACGCGAGACGACGTCGGTCACGTGGGGTACGCCTGCACACAACCCCGGGAATCTTTGTTCGTGGGACGACGACAGCCCACCCCGTATGACGACCTACCCGGCATTAAACAATCAGGTTTGCTTTCTGCAAGCTGCATGCACCCCACAATGAATATTGAAGCTCCTCTCCCCTTCTCCTTCCCTAAACGCCAAGATAAATTATATCTTGTTTGGGCGATCCCGATGCACTGCGTTCCCAGTATTGCGGCGCAAGAGTAGGGTCTGTGGGAGGACATGGAATTCTCAGTAGACTGCACACAGAATAAGTGGGTTGAAGAGTGGTTGAGATGTCACGCGTTGCGTGAAGCTTCTCTTTCGGTAAAGCTATAGGTTTAAGGCCGCCATCAGATGAAAGCTCCCTTTGATGGTTGTTGCGTGACTTACTATTTGCATGTGCATGTTTTGCCTTCTTTATTCCATGTGTTGGTCAGAAACTTCGGTGCTTTGTTATGTTGCTTGGGATGGAGAAGATGATAAGATGCGTGGTTGACTTTGTTTGGTCGAGTCTTTGCAACGAGCGAAAGAACTCGGGATTTGAACTTCCAAAGACAGCAGAATCGTTGAGCGATCGACGCTGCGGTCTTTGGATGACATAGAGCAACAGCATCGCCATGTAAGCAAGGAGACATCTTCCCGTGGAAATGGCGTCGAGGTCAACGAGGAGAACTTACTTTAGATCGACGGAATCGGATTTGCAAATAACAAATTTCTCTGAGAAAAAAAAATATAAATAAAACTATGAAAAATCATAAGAAAAATAAGAAAATGTTATTAATCAAGCCGTTGGAAGTTATTCGTTATTGAAAACAATAATTGCAACAAGAAAAGGTCACAAGACATATCCTTGTCATGTACAGCCAACCATACATGACATACAAAGGACTGTGGCTGCAAAATTGAATTTGTTTAATTGGTAGGAAATAGTCAAATGTATGACTGTTGAAGTATCATGTCATGTCCGATGGGTGCTGAGGAGTAATTATCCGATGGTGAAGATGTTAAATTGGATGCATGTTCTTGGAATTTAAATTATTCTTTTCACGGAATAGAAAACTTACATAAAAATCTAAAAATACATAATGTATTATTTGAAATATTTCTACTTATCAGATCATATATATTTTTTAATCCTAAAATTTCCCTTTTCTACTGCTGACACATATTTCACTATTTTTTTTCTTTCTAATTTACACTTTGTTTGATCAATAGGGACAAGGAACACATCAAACATCAATTCCTCAGCTTCATTTTGACACCAAAGCATGGAATCTTCGAGCACAATCGAGCTTCTCCTTCACCCTTCTTGTATCTCAAATTCTCGCGAGCAAAAGTCAACACATCGACGAGTAGTCAACCAACCGAGATCTTAACGCAACCACATAAACAGCAACTGTGACGGCGATTGACGACGACCAGAATTAGACACGTTCGTTTGGTTCGTCATTCTTGAACTCTTATATGGCGTCTCCACATGATGCTACGCGATCATGCATCACGTTGCTTGGTGCGAAGCCATTAGGACGACGACGACGACGACTGCCCATCTGATGTCCGCACAGGATCGACACTCGTGGCATGTCGGAGGCCAGCATGCAAAGCTGACATGGCCGGCCGACACAGCTCGTGGCCATCGGAGGCCAACCATTTTCCCCCAGATTTAAGATCGTGGCCATCTTTGCTTCTCATGGCTGAACTCCCCCTTGCATGTATGAGAGATTGACTTGGAACGAAAACCAAGTTAAAGAAGTGAACTGTTTGGGTGGCGTTGTCCACTGACTTTGACATGTAACAACCTCCAAGCATCAGAACATTATTTAAGAAGGTCTTCTCCCATGGTATGCATGCAGTTGGCTAGCTTTTATACGTTTAGCTTGGGAACACTGCGCAGTGAGTCTACATACATATCCCAGAGAATGATGCCTTTTTCTTTGGGATGAAACAGGAGACCGACTGTGCCGAAGAGGTTACTACTGTTTGTGAAGGGCCCTCTCTACGAAGACAAAGGACAAGACAGTGGGGGAGGAGATCAGACCTTGTGGCTGGGGAAGAAGAGAAGCAACAATGGGTTCAGTACAGCTGTTGGGGGAGATGGGAGTGTTGAGAAGAGGAAAGGCGAACAAAGTGAGAACACAAATGATTGATCCTGCACGCATTCATCTCTATTCATTTGTCAGTTTCTTTGACGTGGTGCCTTGTTCTTCCAACCATATTGTACTGTACAAAGATGAAGTTTTAGCTTGAGATTATGATCAAAGTACTATATATATATATATATAAAGGACACTCTACACCACTTTTTTCTACAAAAAGTTCGATCCGGATGTGAGAGTAGAAACTGCTACAATCCTTGCAACATCTTCCATTATTCTCGTGTATTTGACATGGTCAATAAGAGATAGAACTGGGTTTTCATGCATTAAGTTGGCTACAGGGAGTCATCATGTCAGCATCCCTCAAACATGCTACTTGGATCCTACAACAGAATCAATCAGCTGTTGGTCGGACACGACAGCATATAAGACTTATCCCAACAATCTACAATTACAATAAGACTTATCCATACTATTAAGGATCATTCTAATAGGTGCCATCGAAACAAGACATAATCTTAAGGGATATCTTATCCTTGAATCAAGAAAGCTAGATTGCACCATCATCCGACATGTGTAACATCTGATTGATCTTTCAGAAGTAGAATGGTGGGTTATTGAGAAACGGAAGTCAAACCTCAGTGTTCATCTGTGACATGTGAAGTGATTTATTGCACTTAAACCTAACAATATAATTAACAAGTACAAGGTTTTTAAGATGATAGCTTTTGGTTTGTATCTTCAAGTTAAATACTATGGCTTTTTAATCTAGATTTTAAAGTTTCGATTTGCACCTCAGTTTATGAGCTTAATTTACGAGCAGATAAATGCCAGTGAATAACTCGAAGAACGTTGATATATAAAACTGGGAATTCTAATCAACGATTAGGTTATAGAATAACTAGGAAGAGAAGCTGTGTGATGCATAGAATATAAAACAAATTATGATGATGTCGCGTTAATTAGATAATTAGAGAAAAAAATGTCACGAAAAACTAAAAAGGCTAATTAATGATCTAAAATTCCTCAAATTAATTCATAAACCCAAGTCTATAAAGAAAAATGTATCATAAAATTTTCACTGACTTCAAATTTGACATCATGCTACATAATCTGGTGTCAGCTTGACAGTCAATTATGAGATAAGGTCAAACCTTTCAAGAAACTTGACAACTTCTCACTGTGTTCATCCAGCAGACTCGAGTGTGATGAAGAAAACAACACTTAGTCGTCTCTTGATGGATTTTGGGTTTTTGATTCTTCTTCAAGATGACTGCCAAAACTGAAACAGGTTTTGCCGTCTCCCAACACCGGCGGTTCGTGGAAGAAAACGCGCGTCTCCCGAGTCCTCCGGATCGGCGAGGAATTGGCGAACCGTCCGCCGACCAAAAGATCGGAGTGGTCCAGAGCGCGAAACCGAGACGGTACACGCGTCGCACAGAGGATCCCCTTGCAAGATGCGCAGCGTAGACGCACAGGACAGCTGATCCTGCCTCCCATGCCTCTACTGCCACTTCTACAGTGTCCATGACAGCGACATGACATCAATAATAATTCTCTCTATTTCTTTTTTGTTCTCGGTTTTTTTTTTAACATACCCCCGTAGAAGATCTTAATTTCGTGTATATATATATATAGGAGTGAGAACAGTTCTAGAAATTATTGCATATTACCCCTGAGAAGGGGCAACGACATTATTTCGATCTTGGTGAGAATATATATGCAAAAGTCTCATTCTGGGGTTCTATTTTTTACGGGCGGAGAGGGCTCTTTACATTAAGATCTGAGGAGAGAGTGGTACCAGTGCGGCGATCCCTTTCTCTCTCTTCCCTTTTGATTAGCAACGGATTCGGGGGCGATGCCCTCTGAATTCTCGCTGGAATCGGGTGGATCTTAGTCGGGAGAGGACGAAGAAGGAGAAATATTCCGCCTTTTGCAGTGTTGTCTGCTGAATCTGGAGTTAGAATAGATGATACCTGCGGTCTTTGGTGGTGGATTTGTGTCCGTCTCGGGCCGTTGGAGTCATGGGTGAAGAAATGGTGCTATTTTGTTTCGAAAGTTGAGATTTTTCGGTTTAAGATAGGGATTTCGGTAGTCATGGACTGGGTTTTGTAGGGTTCGGGAGTGTAGTATCGAGGCGTTTAGTTGAGTTGTGGGGTGTTTGTTTCCTGTTTGTGCCTTAGGTGTCGTGGAGAAGGGAGGGAGTGGTGTTCGGTGGAGGTGACTCGGATTTCAGATTGTTGGGCTATTCTGAAGGGAAGTACGAGGACAAGTGGAGTCGATCGGTTCTCCACTTTAATCTGATTTTTCTGCTCTCCAAGCAGTTCTGCGCACCGAAAGGTAAGAAACTGATTCGATTTATTGATTACTGCGGTTCCGAATGAGTTCTAGGTTTTGTTCTTTCTTTTAGGTATCAGAATCCCACCCACCTTCGGGGTTACTTTTGGGTCACTTTGTTCTTGTAGCTTAGGGATCCTAAGTCCTGTTTTGATTCCTTATCTTCAGGAGATCGCGAAAAGGGTGGGAGTCTTTTGAATCTATACATCGGTTGGCTAAAAGGTGAGAATTTTTGGAACCTTGCTGTATCTCATGTTTTTCCTTTTCCTGGTGTAGTTCTTTCTGTAGAACTTGTGCCTGAAACCAGTAGAATTTTCTTCTTCTTTCCTTTTTTCTTCTTTTTTGCAGCATTCTTTTGAAACTAGCTAGAATTGCTCTTGCCCATGCTCACATTTAGCAAATCGATGAAAGAATCATCAATGAAGCAAAGTGACAAGTGCCTGGACTCCCAGCTGTGGCATGCCTGCGCCGGCGGAATGGTTCAGATGCCGGCAGTGAACTCCAAGGTCTACTACTTCCCACAGGGTCACACGGAGCATGCCCAAGGGCTTGTGGATTTTGCGACATCCCAGCGAATCCCACCTCTGATCCTTTGCTGTGTAACTGCTGTGAAATTTATGGCTGATCTGGAGACTGACGAGGTGTTTGCAAAAATCAGCCTGGTTCCACTGAGACCCAACGAGCCAGACTTTGGAGAAGATGATGGACTGGGTCTCAGTATAAATGGAGTTGATGTACAAGAAAAGCCGGCATCTTTTGCCAAGACTTTGACACAATCGGATGCCAATAATGGTGGGGGCTTCTCTGTCCCACGTTACTGTGCTGAGACCATCTTCCCGAGGTTGGACTACTCGGCTGACCCTCCTGTGCAGACCGTGCTTGCAAAGGATGTGCATGGTGAGATTTGGAAGTTTAGGCACATATACAGGGGGACACCTCGTCGGCATTTGCTGACAACTGGGTGGAGCACTTTTGTTAACCAGAAGAAGCTTGTGGCAGGCGATTCAATTGTGTTCTTGAGAACAGAGAATGGGGATCTCTGTGTGGGAATCCGACGGGCTAAACGAGGTGGGATTGGTGGGGGTCCAGATATCCCATCAGGATGGAACCCACCGGGTGGGAATTGTGCATCTAGCTATGGGGGCTTCTCTGTCTTCCTAAGGGAGGAAGAAAATAAATTGATGAGGGGAAATGGCAATGGTGGTGGTGCTGGTGGGGCTATGAGGATTAGTGGAAGAGTAAGGGCAGATTCTGTCATCGAGGCAGCAACACTTGCAGCTAATGGGCAACCTTTTGAGGTTGTGTATTATCCTAGAGCAAGTACACCAGAGTTCTGTGTGAAGGCTGCATCAGTAAAAGCTGCAATGAGGATCCAATGGTGTCCAGGGATGAGATTTAAGATGGCTTTTGAAACTGAGGATTCCTCGCGGATTAGTTGGTTCATGGGGACGATATCTTCTGTTCAGATTGCAGATCCTGTACGGTGGCCTAATTCGCCTTGGAGACTTCTGCAGGTATCCTCTTTATAGGTCATTAAAAATAAGATACATAATTTTGTTATTCTATAGTGTTAATTTGTTTGTTCATTTTCTTTTATCTTTTACAGATTATTCATAGTTTCTGTGCTTGATCTCTTTTTGTTGAAAACCTTCCTATTCATCTTTCTGATATGTAAACATCATTGTTCTGATCAATAGCTTAATTGATGTAGCACAAGCTAAATTAGGGTTAGTGTTGAATAGTTTTCCTTTTCTCTACTTCCATTCCCATACTAATTGTGCTTGTGATTTGTTAGTTAGCCTCTTTTCTTGTTTATGGTCCCTTTTCGCGTGGTTGTACCTATGATTATCTGCTTGTTATTAATGTTGATTTTGGATTATAGGCATTATGTTTCTCGGATAATCATGCCACCGATGGAGGCACCAGATGGAGTTTCTAGTTCTAGAGCATAAGTAATGGCTATCTTAGTAGGCATGATGAATGAGGTCCCTTGAACATATATCTTGATGATTGATTTCTTTCAGTGTCGTACATCCTTGCTCCTTGTGGAACCCACCTAACAAAATTCACAAATTTACTGTAAAATTTGTTTCTAATTTGGATCATTTGTCAATGATTCATCTATTTATAAATCATTATGTTGTAGCACTTGGATTTCTTCAATTAGTGTTAAGCCAATAATGACTTTGCGTAAAGGAAGTCTCTTCAAAAGATACCTGGCAGAAGGTTGCTTGTCTCCTTTGACATATAGTATCTCAGTAGAAACATCAAGCAAATGTCTTGTGCTTTCTAGTTGGACACAAAGAAAATTGATTTAGAATATGCCAGTCTAGGAAACAAGAAAAAGGGAAAAAAATCCATCAAGGCTTCATGCATTTGATACCTCTCCTTCTCAAATAGTTATGTTGCTGCTTTTGACAAGTTATATTTTGTTTTCTGTAAGTTTTCATTGTATTTTGTGTATTACCCAGAAATGTTTGCACTATCATGCTTTGCATATGCTAGAAATGAATTATTTGCTTTATGACTTAAGACTTCTGGTTGTTTTTTCTTAGTTTCATTCTCTCTCTGTTCCTGCACTTCCCTGCTGAAATGTAACCATCATTCAAACTGCCTTTGCAGGTCACATGGGATGAACCAGATCTGTTACAAAATGTGAACCGTGTGAACCCATGGCTAGTTGAACTGGTCTCAAACATGCCAGCTATCCATCTTGCTCCCTTCTCTCCGCCGAGGAAAAAGCTCCGCATCCCTCAACACCCTGATTTTCCCCTTGAAGGCCAACTTTCAACACCAATGTTCCCCGGAAATCCCCTTGGTCACTGCACCAGTCCTCTATTCTGTTTCCCAGACAGTACTCCTGCAGGCATACAGGGAGCCAGGCATTCTCAATTTGGTATATCTTTATCAGATCTCCACCATAACAAACTGCAGTCAGGTCTGTTCCATGCTGGCTTTCACCGCCTTAATCACACATCTTCACTCTCAAGAATATCAGCAGGTGTAGCCGTTGATAGTCCTGCCATTGATAAAAACATTTCTTGTTTGTTAACAATTGGCAATACTTCCCAAAGCATAAAGAATCCCTGCAATGCAAAGCCACAACAATTAATGCTTTTTGGGAAGCCAATACTAACCGAGGAGCAAATTTCTCTGAGCAACTCTGGGGATATGGTCTCCCCTGGAGCCACTGGATACAGTTCTCCTGATGGGAATCTAGAGAAGACAACCAAATTTCCAGAAGCATCTGGTTCTGCAACTAACAAAAATGTGGCTGTGGATAATTCATCTTGTAACAGATTTGAGTGGTACGGGGATCACCATTCATCAGACCTTGGTCTGGAGACTGGACATTGCAAGGTTTTTATGGAATCAGATGATGTTGGCCGCACCCTTGATCTCTCTGTGTTTGGTTCTTATGAAGAACTATACAGAAGGCTAGCCGACATGTTTGGGATTGAGAAATCTGAGATGATGAGCCATGTGATTTATAAGGATGCGGCTGGTGCAGTTAAACTCACTGGAGATGAACCTTTCAGGTTAGGATTCCGATAACAGCAACAATCAAGATTTTGGAGTGTCCATTCTCTCTTGTGGTGGTTTTAGATTGTCATTTCATTGTTGAAGAACATTTATATGTTTAGACCATACTTAACAATCTGCATCCCTCTTCCATAAATTGGGTCTTTTGCCTAATTTCGCTGAACATTACACCTATTTAATTCTTGCTTTTTCCCACTTGATTTCTTTGTGTTTGCCTGTTCAACCCGTGGTATGGTTCTATAACTGATGACTTCAACTTGAGTCTTATTAAGGGATCCATGAGATTAGTTAGCTTGTTTTAGTACACCAGTTCAAATTTGTAGAGTTTCACAAACTGTGTCATAGTTTTCAGTCTGTAATTGGTTGTAACTTCTTTCTTTCCATGGACTATGTCACAGATAATTGTTTTTTCGTGGGCTGCACTTTCAGTTGTGTTTATGTGATAGGAGGCACTCATTTGTTTAAGAAATGTGAACATGTCTTTTTGACCCAAGAGTGTTTTTCTGATGGAACTTGTTCTGGTCTTGTTGCAGTGACTTTATGAAAACGGCACGGAGGCTGACAATATTAACAGATTCGGGCAGTGATAACATAGGAAGGTAGGAAAAATTGTCAGAATTTACTTTTAAATAAGCATCTTGTTCAGTGTTCCTCCTTGGACAATTTTCCTTCCAAGTATTTTTAAGATCCAGAATCCAGTCTTATCTATCATTTTGTTTGAGATGAGCTTTCGAGCGTTGGTCATTTATGTCAGATTAATTTACCTACAGGACTATTCTTTTTTTTTTCCTTTTTCTCCTGGGCATTGCTTTGATGCTTTCAGAAAGTGCAAGCTTTCTGATGTCCTTTTTTGTATAGTAGATATATGGAGGTTATAAACTCTACTTGAACATTCATCTGTATCTTGGTTATTCATAGAGGTAAAGTCTATTTCTTTTCTTGATGAACCTGATAAGAACCTGGTTATGGTTGTTGTTAGTTCAAAAGACAATAGTCTTCAAAGGAACATTTGGCTTCTGAGACATGTTGGTGTCTTTGATCGATTGGAATTGTTATTTTTTTTGGTTTTCAGATCGATGCTACCAGGATCGTTCAGCACAAACCTACAGTGCTGCAGTTGATTCACAAAGCCGTGGGGAGCTGCATGGACTTTGTTTAGTTGTCTGGAGTTGGAAGAAATACAAATCGAGTAGAGAATGTATTCAACAAACCCTTAATGCTGGTTGTTGCTTCTTCATTTTGTCTCCTTGTTTGCCAAGTGATAGACGGTCTGTTTCGAGCTTTTCTTTGCGTTTGTGAACCTGTAATAGCTAAGTAGCGCACTCTTCGAACTGTGTTTTTCAAGCAAGATTAGCATGTTTGCTTTGAAGGACGTAGATGCAAATTGTCCTTATCAATAACCATCGTGGATCTACTTACTTGCAACTTTCTATTTCATCAAATGTTGCTGTCGAACGAGGTAGGTAGCATTCTCTTCAATTGGCGACTGTGTTTCCTTCATCAAGAGACCAATGCACTGAAGAATGCTCCACCGACGAATGTTTCCCTACCGCTGTGTCGTCGGTCATGAACACAGTAACCAGCAGATGTGACATGAGGTTAATCAGCACGTAAAAATCTCATATGATTTGATTCCAAGATTATAATAGTAAGAATCCATCAGAAACACACAGAATTAAATAGGAGCCTCGTCGAAGACTGCACCGCGAATTCTTCCCATCTCCCTCGGCGCAACCGTAGGGATAGGGAATAAACTACTGCGTCAGACTTGGGGATCGCCGAACCGACACGATTATAATAACAAAACATACGAAATTGAATGCTATAGGCCCGGACCGGACCGGTAGCGATTCGGTCCGACCCGCACGTGTGGGACAGGTCAGCGACGCCGTCTTGTGGGCCCCGCCTGTCCGTTGACCGGGAACGGTGGTAGCGCCGTAGTTCAAGGCGCGGCACAAGCAACGAGGAAGAGGGAATTGAATCGGGGACACACGCATTACTTACTTCCATCCTCGTTTTTATTTATGGATTTCTTCCATGTTTAATAGCGACATCATGATCTATATTTGTCTGTTGGAGACTGGCTGGGTGAGTCAAAGACGTCCTCGAATGCTGTGCACAGAAACAAATGCCACTTTGCATTCAGTGCCTTGAAACAGCATGGTAAACCCAAAGCACTTGCCTAAACCACCACGCCCTTGGCCTCCCTCCTCTCGCAGCACAAAACGAAGCTTGGGCGTTGAAAGATCCAACACGGCGAGAGGGACACGACATGGGGTGCCGAGGCAGTCTGACATCAACCGTGTCCGGTTCGGGCTTCGTTCCCGGCCGACCGGTCCGGTTCCTGAGTCGTTCCGGTCCGCGGAATCTGCCCCCTCTCTCGCCTTCTCGGCTCCCGTAACGTCCCGTTTGGAAAGCGGTGCTGCTGCGGCCTTGGCCTCCGCCTCGACGGCAGCGTGACACAAGTCAAAGGTGTCGACCTGATCCGCGTTTGCAGCTTTGTGCCATCTCAAGGATATGGCACTCGTTACAAGAAAGCTTTTTTAACTTGCTGTGATGTCTTTTCCCGTGTGGTCAGAGCCGAGACATTGACTCCCCGTAGCTCAAAGAACAAGATGAGATGTGGACTAAGAGAAGGCTGTCTTGTGGGGTGGGGGTGATTTAGGGTCCCTATCGGTTTCCAGCTTCTCAAACTTTTGTGTATAACACTTTTTTGTTTCTTCTGTGCCAAATTGTTCATACGTAGAAATAATAAAATATAGACCACCAGAAAAAAATAAAAATAAAATAAAAATACATGGTAAAAAAAAGAAAAAGAGATCCAAAGAAATACTACAAAACTGAAGATTTTAAGATTATACATGTAATTTTTTTTTTGGATGATATATTTTTTGGGATTTTAGAGCCAAATGTTTTAGAAGGAATCTTAGTACATAACTATAGAAGGACTCCTTATAAAGAAAGAATATTTTAAAAATTAAAATTTAATTATTATATAAATATCATGTGTATTTCTACGATGCAAGAAAAAAGAATATTTTTTTTAAAGATTTATTTGAAAAGGTGTACAAAAAGATTTGTGCTTGAGTTGAGTTAATTCAATAGCTTTGCAGTTGATATAGAAAAGAAGTGTGGAATCATATTAATCTTACATCAATTTATTTTTAACCCATCAGATTATACCGCAAACGATAAAACTTAAATTGATAGATCGATTTAAATCCAATATGTATAACTTAGATTGATTAGAGTATTAAAAATATTTATATGTATGAGATCAAAAGAGATATATTGAGAGGAAAGTCTCAAGTTACATGTATTAGGTTTGATTCATAATTTATAAACTTTTAAAGTTTTTAGATAAAATTTGGTTTGAATGAGTAAAAAAAAAAAGTTAGAAGAATGAGTTGAGCCAATCATATTAGGGTTTAATTGAATGAGTAGATGTGAATGAGTGAATTATCTCATAGCATTAAAAAAAATACAAACTAAGTATGAACCCTCAAGAGTAACAAAAAAATAATCAACACACATATATAACGAAATATATTAAAAATATTCATGTATATAAAATAAAAAGAGATATACTAAGAGCATAATTCCATGTAGCTAAGAATTGAAAGAATCAACTTACATATATTAACTTTGACCCGTAATATAAAAATTTAAATTTTTGGATAAAATTAGTATATGACTTGAAACTTTGATCAGTTTGACTGAAACTTATAACAATCAGTTTTATTTTCTTAATACATAGCTAAAATAAGATTTAAATATAAAATATTTTTGTCAGATATTATATTATAATATTGCCCATTATCATAGATGAGAAATAATCTAAGATTTATGTTGTTAACATATACTTTACATAGCCTATGCATTTAATCGATTGATAAGAATATTTAGTCTCATATCATATTAATTGAGGAGTAAGAGAACCAAAAACTTATAACCTGTAGGATTACCCTTATCCTTAGTCTCATAAGTCTATAGGATCGCACCAATAATCATCAAATATTAACTTATCACTGATTAGTCTAAGTAGTGGCAATGATGTGGTGCCAATTCCCAACCCGCGATAACTAGTGTTAGACTCATCTACACTTAGGGCTCAACACAACGATCATCATCACCCACCAGGTGGGATAGTAGTTCGGAATGGCAAAAGGCCAGGCTGGGCCGGTCCATCATAGTTCCAAGGGAGCAACCCAATTTCATCAAATAATTTCAGATTTATTATTGATTGATGAGACAATTTATCGTTTATCATTTGACCTTTGAAATCATTCAAATATTTAAGAAAACAGATGTTTTGAAATCATTCCAAACATCCACCAAGATCAATTTGATTGAGAAGTTTGAAAATGTTGAATAATGTTATATTCTCATTTTGCTACAGTCCTATTTGGAAGAACTCTATCAAATAATCATCTTGTAGCTACTAAGACAATCAACTATCAGTAACTTAGACTTAAGAATCAAATTAATAAGTTAGCTGATTTATCCATATGATACAACTCGAAATACAAACACCTCTACAAATAGATTCGGAGGGATTACTTCTTTACTTTGAAATACTATTCTATAGAATTAATAGAAACAAGTTTTGAATTAATAGAAACACAAAGGGTGCTTTTTTTTATCAAGACATTAATTCAGGATTAGTATCTAACCATAATATCCATTTCGAAAATACGTCTACCTAAGACTAACATTCTTTATCATTAATAAATATGCCAATTCAATTCAGATTTATCTTCCTCATTAATCAATAGAATTTAAGTTATTTATTAAATCATCATTAATATCAAATGAATCAAAAAGGATATATGAGTCATATTAACTCTAAAATTCGATATATTTCTCTCTACATATCACAACATTAGTTTTTTACTTAACATAATCCACTATGATATTTTCATAATGGTCCAATGATAGTATCTTTATTAAATATAAATCTGGCCAAGTTTCATCTACTTATACAATGTAAAAAATAGAATAAATCATAAACATATAAATGAGCTTAGAGTGTCAAATAATCATTCATGAACATAACATAATATCAATAATAATGTATAATGCAGTCTTTTGACATATTTATTAAATAACTTGGGAGACAATCGTTTTGTTAATACATCTATAATCATAAGAGCGGTGCTAATGCATTTTACTTCCATATGTTTAGTCCTCCTTATAATACTTATCATTTTTAGGATGAATACTACTGTAGAATTTTCAAAATAAATTTTCAATAGCTTGGTAATGCTTTGGACAATCCTAAATTCTAAAATAAAATTTTGTAATCATAATCTGTAAACTATGACTTCAAAATATGTCACAAACTTTTACTTCTATAGTGTCGTAGCAATGATAGACTACTTTGCACTCTTCTATAAAATTACTCCTCAAACTTAAAAGGAATAAATTCTTTTATATTAACACATCCAACAAAATCCAATCACTTCAAGATCATTTGATCTCCTATAAGTGAGCATGTAATCTTTGTAAGTATATTAACATTTTATTTGTAACTTTTTAATAATTTATTTCAGGATTACCTTGATACTTGCTCAATATTTTGATAGTAAAATTAGTGTCAGGCCTGATTCAAGTTTCAACGTATATTAAGCTTCCACAATATATGTATAAGGAATTATTTTTATTTGTTCTCATTCTAATTCATTATTTGGACAGTTAATTTTATCCCTGAACAATTTTTCATCTTAAATCCCTTAAAAACTTTATTAATATTTACTTTCTAACACAACCTAAACAATTCTTATGGTTTATCCTGAAATATTTTAATTCCTATCACATAGGTTGCCTCTCCCATATATTTCATTTCAAAGATTCTTAGAGAGATATTTTATGGTTTCATATAATAAATCAAAATTATTAGTAACAAACAAAATACCATCAATATATAGAATAAAAAAGAAAAACTTACTGCCATTGACATACACTGATTAATAATATTTTTTTAAATCTAAAAAAATTTGTAGTATCATTAAACTTAAGATATCATTATTAAAAATTTTATTTAAGTCTATATATTGATTTCTTAATTTTACGGACCATATGTTCCTTCCCTTTAACTAGAAATCCTTCAAGTTCGTCCATGTAAACTACTTTCTCTAAGTTCTCATTTAGAAAAATAATTTTCACATTTATTTGGTTTAACTCTAAGTTATAATGAGCTATTAAAATCATAATAATTCTAAAAGAATCTTTTCGGGTGAAAAAGTCTCTATGTGGTCAATGATTGAGTGAGACCTTTACTAACAAGTTTGATTTTGTACTTTTCAATATTGCCATTTGAATAGTGTTTGGTCATAAAGACCTATTTACCATCGATATTTTTATGTCCTTCAAGCAATTCAACAAAGTCCCTAACTAAATT